GTGCCTTCATAAAGATATATATGCAGAGGGCTGGCATTGTGGCATAAATGGGTTAAGTCACCACCGTAAATGCTGGCATCCCTTATGGGCACTAGTTTGTGTCCCAGCTGCTCCACTTCCTCTCCAAATCTCTGTTTATGTACCTGGGAAAGCAATGGAAGATGGCCAAAGTCCTTGGCACCCTGAACCCTTGTGGGAGACCAGGTTGAATCTCTTGGCTCCGGGCTCCTGGCTCTTGGATTTGGCCTGGCTCAGCCCCAGCAATTGCAGCCACTTGGGGAGTGAATCAACAGATTCACAGGGAGAGATGGAAAAGCTCTCCTTGCCTGTCTCTCTGCCTTCTGAATGAAATGACAATGAGTAAATAACACTTTATAAAAAGAGATACATGTGCATGTGTTTGTTTTTTTAACACAGGGGCATTTTTTTCTGTACCTTGTTTTACATATAAGTATTCTGTCATCACCTTTCAGGCCAATTAAATATTTAGTATTTGTACAGATATGTCATAATGCATTTTACCAATTCTCTGTCAATATACATTTAGGCTGCTTCTGTTTTATTCCCATCTTGAACAATACTACAAAGAACTGACTTGGTCTTTATGTATTTGACCAAATATATGTAAGATAAACTTGTAGTTGAATCCTAGCCAGGGACATCGACATTTAAAGAACTTTGATCTGCCAAATTATCCTCCAAAGAGAGTACTGTGTTATTCTACTGCCAATATGAGTGCAAGGGCCTGTTTCCCCAAACCTTCCAAAAGTGTGTGTGATCAGAGTCAAAATTCCTTCAGATGCTTCCAATTTCCCATTTCTTCTGCTCTCCATCTTTTCTTTCTCTCTTTTAGGTTTCTGATCACACTTGGCTGTATTGCCAAACTAATCTGTGAATATTTTTCTGCAATTATTTCCTCTCTACTTACCTTCTACACTGCCTTCTCTCACCCTCTAACCTCAGTTTTCCTGCTCACAAACTTCCCTGTTAGTCCCCTGATTAGACTAACTTCCTTGTTAGACTCCTTGATGAGTCCCTGTTAGTGTCCTTGCCACTCAGCACAGCTGAACAGAAAACAGGTGCTTGCTATTTCCCTGGTCTCCCAACCTGCCACCCTCTTAAACCAACAGAGAATGTTAATCAGGAAACATGGGAATAATTTCATAGGAAATAATGTCACTGACTGCAGAGCTGGCATCTAATACAAATTTCTTATATAGGAGTATAATTTTGCATTTAATTACACCCATTCTCTACTGCTTATAAACATTATCATATGAAAAAACTGAGATGTGAGTTAATGATATCAGAAACTATGTTAGAAATTAACTTTTTAAAAAAACTAAAATATAAATGATTAATTTTGGTAATCTGCATGAATGACCTGTGTTCTATTACTTTTTGCTTTTGAGTACTTCCCAACCTCTCTACTGACCTCCACCTCCTCCCTCATCCTTTACTCCTACTCCCATTCTACATCACTGCCCCCTTTGTCCCTGAAGCTCTCTCCCTTTGAGAGCAGTCTTGTAGACTGACATTCAATCATGTGAGAAATGTTACTTTTTTCAAAATGGTTCTGTAGGACAGGCCTGAATGGCATCTAATGGCAATAAACTGGCCTTCTAATAACCCTTAAATATGTTTCCAGCACACGTGGGGCCAGTATTGAGGCATATTATGTAAAGCTACTGCCTGTGACACTGACATCCCACATGGGCTGTGGTTCATGTCCCAGCTACCCTACTTCTTCTTTTTTTTTTTTTTTTTGACAGGCAGAGTTAGTGAGAGAGAGAGAGAGACAGAGAGAAAGGTCTTCCTTCCATTGGTTCACCCCCCCCAAATGGCTGCTACGGCCAGCACACTGCACCAATCTGAAGCCAGGAGCCAGGTGCTTCCTCCTGGTCCCCCATGTGGGTGCAGGACCAAAGCACTTGGGCCATCCTCCACTGCCTTCCTGGGCTACAGCAGAGAGCTGGACTGGAAGAGGAGCAACAGCTACCCTACTTCTAATCCAGCTCCCTGAGATTAGAAAGTATCAGGGGATACTTTTTTCCCTGAGAAAGTATCAGAAGATAGCCCAAGTGCTTGTGTCCCTGCTCCTTCATGGGAGACTTGGATGAATCTCCTCACTCCTGCTTTGACCCAGCCCAGCCCTGGCTGTTGTAGCCACTGAGGATGTGAACCAGTGGATGGAAGATTGATATCTGTGTGTGTGTTTATGTGTGTGTGTGTGCGTGTCTTTTCCTCTAACTCTGCCTTTCAAATAAATAACTAATTTTTTTTTAAGTTTTAAATAGGGGTCCACACTGTGGTACAGCTAGTTGAAAACATCCCTTGCAGTGCTACCATTTCATATAAGTACCAGTTCATGTCCTGGTGGCTCCATTTCCCATCCAGCTCCCTGCCAATGGCCTGGGATTAAGTACTTGGGTCCCAAATGGGATATCTGGCTCCTGGTTCCTGGCCTCAGTCTAGCACAGCACAGGCTGTAATGGATATTTGGGGAGAGAACCAGCAGATGAAGATCTCTCTCTTAGAATAAAGAATAATATTAAAGAGAACAAATTAAAAATTCCCTCTCTGTCATTCTGCCTTTCTGTTAAAAAAGTTTTAAAAAATTAAAAAAAAAAAACTGACCACAAATAATTCTGACTCAATTTGACATACAATGGGGCCAAGAAAGCTACTGCTGACTTTGTCTACTGCCTCCTCAATCCCTTTCTGCAGAAAAAATAATTTCTCTTGCTTTCCAAGCACCCAAAGCCAAAATGACCAGTGCTACCCAGTTTAACTCTGTTAAGGCTGCTCCAGCATTGAAGGAAAGAAGGAGGAAGGGACACAAATGCATGGTGCTTTAGATCATAGTTTCAGACCAGAGTCTCATGGTTGGGGGTGGGTGCTTTCTCAAGATGGAGTCTCAGATGCTCCAAAAGGGAGTCCCTACTGTCAAGGTGTTACTTCATTACCAGCTTATGTATCTCACACAAAATACTTCTCTCTTACACATTTTATAAAACCTGCAAGAAACCTATAGCCATGAGGACAGCCAGTTAGCCTGATGAGTCTAAGCATCCTGTTCTCAGCTTTCTCCAAGTCATATTAACAGGCAAACAACATGGTTGCTCAGAAAGTGGTCTTACAGTTGTTTCATGGGTGTGAAGCGGCTCTTTCCACCAGAAACACAAAAATGCTGGTCCATTCACAAGCACTGTGATAGGGAGGGCACTGGAGAAAAGGTCAAAAACAACACACTGGGGTTGAGAGGAGAAATGCTGTCACCCTAACACCCTCTATCCAGAAATCACTTTCTATGTTTACTTCCTAGATGACCTGATTATGCTAAATGAATTTCACAAACTAGCAATCTGGTGACAATGACATTCTATCAGAACACTGGAATCACTCAGTTATTCATGTGAAAACTGCATTACACTGAAACTCACTCAGCGATAGTTTTCAAGGTCACATCTTATACTCTACATCTCTCTGCGGGGAGAGGTGAACTTTTTTTCTTTCCCCTCTTCTTTTTGACCACTCCTCACGTTAACAACTTGTATAGATGCTTCCACAGACCACGATCTTTATGAAATTGTAGAACTAATATCGTCCTATGTCAAAAAAGTCATGAGTTAAACACAGAACCCAAAATAAGACAAGTAACTGGACTTCTTAATTAATTCAGTGTGGGGTCCAGCACTGTGGCAGAGTGAGTAAAGCTGCCACCTTCAGTGCTGGCATCCCATATGGGCTGTGCCAGGTGAATTTTTTTCAAAGGGAGGGGGGAGTTTCTTCTATGTCCCAGCTACCCCACTTCCAATCTAGCTCTCTGCTATGGGCTGGGAAAGCAGCAGACGATGGCCCAGGTCCTTGGGCCCTGCACCCAGTGGGAGACCCAGAAGAAGTTCCTGGCTCCTGGCTTCAGATCAGCCCAGCTCTGGCCATTGCAGGTATTTGGGGAATGAACCAGCAGATGGAAGACCTCTCCTTCTCTCTGCTTCTGCCCCTCTGTATCTCTGACTTTCAGATAAATAAATAAATCTTTTTTAAAAAAAAAAATATGGACTATAAGATAATCAGCTTGGTGGAGCACAGGGTGACTAAAGAACTGAGCAGAGAAAGTGCCACTTTTCTGTATTTGTTTTTATAGTTCTCCACTTCATGCAAATCCAGACTAAAATAGCTTCTTCAGTTGTTGACCCACACAGTTCACTCTCACTTTGTAAAGGGGTCAGTGGCAGACAATAACAGTTAACATCCTTCCTAACAGAAGAAGGAAGAAGGGCTGACAACAGAAATTGAAAAGCAGCCAATTAAATCATCAGCTAAGATTCTATGGCCTCAAACTCCAGACTGAAAAGTCTGTTAACTAAACACGAAAGAAGGATCAATCCGCAAAGTTACTGAACACCCTTCACGCTGTACCCTCTGGCGAAGAGCTCAGCAGGCAGGGCCACAGCTGCTGGGTGTGTCCATGGGAAATCCAACGGCCGGATAAGGTGCAGAATGGGGGCCATGGAGCAGCTCCTATTCTGCCCTCCTTCCCACCCCTGCTGCCTCCCGCACTCCTCTGAAGGCTGCTGAGCCCCGCCCCGCAGAAGCAGCAGCCAGAAGGCATTCTGTGACCCACCGGAAGTGGGAGCCGAGCTTATTTAAATAGAGTGAACTGGCAGCCTCACTGCTAACCCCCTACCCCCCCACCCCGTGCTCGTATCTGCCTTGCTTGTGCAGTTGCCCTGACCGGTGCTCTTGGTTTTGTAACCACCAAATAAAGCACATTAAGGAAAATTTGAGCAAGGTAACACGCGGACCGGCTGGGCACTGGGAAGCTGGGCAGTGGCGGTGGGAAACACGAGAGCCAAGGTCCCAGCCCTGACCATGCCTTGGGAAGCCACCAGGATCACTGAGAAGTAAGTGAGCCACGTGGCGGAGCCGCCACCCGCCCTCTCGCCCACCCCTCTCCCACACACACATCTGTGCCCCCTTCTGTTCTCCATACTTGCCGTGGAAAGTCCTGGGAGCACGTCCCCCTTCTTCAGGGAACAAAGCGGAGAGTGTGGAGCAGAAAAAGTCCCCAGCATGTGGGACCCACAGGCGGCAGATGAAGAGGCACAGAAGCAGCGGGTGGCGGCTCAGGGTGTTTCCGCAGACTTCCTGGGATTGTACGGGCAGAGCAAGAAACGCAGTGAATGCGGCAGAAGGAGCAGCGTGGCCTCTCTGGCTAACTCCGATCCGCGAATGAACTTCCTGTTCTCAACTCCGCACCAGAGGGAAGGCACTGGCAAGCACGTACTCCCACGTCCACACGCACAGGCATTTGGAACGCAGAATACGTCAGAGCACCTGGTGACTCTGGGAAATGGAGTCCAGGCCGCACATTTCTAGAGACCAGCAGGCGATCCCCAAGGGCTTCAGTGTGGGGTGGATGGAGAAATACTGGCCAGCAGAGGGCATTCGCTTCTGTTCACATCCATCCTTTTCTTTCCCACTCCAAAATCTCAAGGATCAGTTGGTGTTCTTTCCTGAATAAAATCTTAAAGCATGGCACTCACTTCTGTAACTGATCCCAAATCCTGGCTCCTTCATAACCTCTGTCTTCTTCCAGAAAAATCTTACTTGTTGCATTGTTCCTGGAAACTTCTCTCAAAAAATTATTATGAAAGCAATATACCTTTTAGCAGAGGTGTAGAGGGTATAGCTTAACATGCAGATTTGATAATACAATTTTTATTTGTGTTTTATTGATGTTTATAATTCTCAAATTATTTTACACCATCTTTTAATTCCTCAAGCATAGAAACAAAGAAGGGAACTGGATACAGAACTAACATTGCTAAGTATCTTCTAGGAGCAAGATTAAGGAACTAAATGCCTTACCTCATAGCATTTATACCTTAGATTAATTCTGGGGACAGTATAATCAGAAGTTCACAAAGGGGAAACTGAGGTGCAAAGAGTTTAGAATTTGCCCACGGCAGTACCATTAAAAGGTCTAGGTTAAAGGCTAACTAAAATATAATACTGGTCTAAGAAATTCTTTTGTCTTGGGGCTCAGTTTCTAAAACCCCAGATTTGTCATCTGAGGAAAAAAAGTGAGAGTGAGGGAGGCTGGTGCAGTGGTGAAGCAAGTAAAGCTGCCTCCTGCAGTGCTGGCATCCCATGTGGGCGCTGCTTTGAGTGCCAGCTGCTCCACTTCGGACCCAGCTCTCTACTATGGTCTGGGAAAGTAGTAGAAGATGGCCCAAGTCCTTGGCTCCCTGCACCCATGTGGGAGACCTGGAAGAAGCTCCTGGCTCCTGGCTCCAGATGGGCACAGCTTGAGCCATTACAGCCAGTTGGGGAGAGAACCAGCAGATGAAAGACCTCTCTCTCTCTCTCTCTCTCTCCCTCTCCCTCTCCTTCTCTCTGTGTAACTCTTACTTTCAAATAAATAAATAAATCTTTAAAAAAAATGAGAGAGAGCAAGAGTACCTACAACAATAATCTACACTGTAGAGAACAACATAGGATTATAACTTGTTTAAAAACAAAGGCAATTCAAAGTTGCTATTATTCCAAGGTCATTTTCATTTTTTCTTATGTTTAATATCAAGATAGCATACATATATATTATGCAATCTTAGATATATGTATGATTTTTTAAAATTTTTAAGTAGAAATGCAAATGGATAAATGGATAACATGGAGTTCTATGTTTATGATTGCGTCTGTCAATTATAGTTCATGGGATTAGAGTTGTTGCTGGATTAGGAATGCTTAAATCTTTATCCATTGACTTCACACTAGTCTTTACTATGTCAGGCAATATTTTTTGGGTAGATTGCTCTTTCTTGCCAAATTGAAAATTTCATGGGGCCAAGAAACACGTTTGCCTTGAAATTAACTCAGCATCTGGACAGAGTAAGTCTCTTAGTTCAATGAATAAGTGAGGATATAGAAACAAGCAAATAAGAGTTGTAACTCCCAAGAACTGCCTAGTAGAGGAGACAAGTAAATAGAAACCTACTTGAAGACTGTCACAATTAGGGTTGAAGTGTATAAACAGGAACCATCCAGGCCAACAGGTCAAATGTTCACTCTTGCCATGTAAGGCATTCCATTCATTTATTTAATAAGCATTTATTGAGCAATCTTCTGTGTTGTGTGTGGAAAGAACTAGCAGCCACTTGATTTCCTTAGAAATTGAAGTAAGAGAAACTGAACAACCAGATACAGGCAGGGAGAGTGGGCTGAATCACAAAAGGCTTTGGACACAAAAGTAAGGAAAATAAAAGACAGGGGTAAATTAAAGTCTATTAAAGATAATTTAGTAGGCTGGCGCCGTGGCTCAATAGGCTAATCCTCTGCCTTGCGGCACTGGCACACTGGGTTCTAGTCCCGGTCGGGGTGCTAGATTCTGTCCCAGTTGCCCCTCTTCCAGGCCAGCTCTCTGCTGTGGCCTGGGAGTGCAGTGGAGGATGGCCCAAGTGCTTGGGCCCTGCACCCCATGGGAGACCAGGAGAAGCACCTGGCTCCTGCCTTTAGATCGGATCAGCGTGGTGTGCCAGCCGCGGCGGCCATTAGAGGGTGAACCAACGGCAAAAGGAAGACCTTTCTCTCTGTCTCTCTCACTGTCCACTCTGCCTGTCAAAAAAAAAAAAAAAAGATAATTTATTAGGATTCATAGGGAGGTACTGTGGCAGTGAGAATGAAGAAAAGGCAAACATTACATTGAGATTTACATGTAGAATCAACGGGAGTTCAATGCTTTAATATGGTGGATAAGGCAGATGGAAACTCATGTAAAATCTTAATTCAGATTTTATTTTCAAAGGACAAGATGTTCTCATGACATTAATGTTCATCAGTAACAAAAGGCTACCTCCAATCAACTTACAAAGTTTGCATAAATCTAGAACACAGTCTCATGGGTAAATGTTATGTATAAGCCCTATGTAAATCATCAAGCCTATCATATTTCATATTAACTGCTACCATATACAATGGTCCTCACTATGATGTAGTTACTTAGAAGTTAGAAGACATGGTGGCAGCACTGTGGTGTAGTGGGTAAAGTCTCTGCCTGCAGGGCCAGCATCCCATATGGACAACAGTTTAAGTCCCAGTTTCTCCACTTCTGATCCAGCTCTCTGCTGTGAGCTGGGAAAGCAGTAGAAGATGGCCCAAGTCCTTGAGCCCCTGCACCCACATTGGAGACCTGGAAGAAATTCCAGACTCCTGGCTTCAGATCAGCTTAGCTCTAGCCATTGCAGCCATCTAGGGAGTGAACCAGCACATCAAAGATTCTTTCTCTTCCCCTCTCTTTCTCTCTCTCTGCCTCTGCCTCTCTGTAGTTCTGCCTTTCAAATAAATAAATAAAATCTTAAAAAAATGCTGATGAGAAACTATTTTAAAAAAAGAAACTAGAAGATATAATCAGTGGCTATAAGAACAACCTAAATAAAAATGAAATTCAAAATCTCACAAAATTACATAATTCATAGTTGAATCTGGAATACCTCACTAAGTCACAGTTCATGTGTCCAGCAATCTCAGGTACTCAAAGTACAATGAAGCAGGACATAAGTAAAAATGTTCCCAGAATAGTCAAAATATGCATTATAAAGTCCAGGTGAGGTGTCCTGCCACTGACTCAGCATCATGGCTCTTAAACTGGCTTCTAAACTGGCTACTCTGGCAGGCATGAATGGGCACAAAGATAAGAAGAAAGCAGTAGATGTGAACTGTGAATAAATGGAAAAGGCTCCAAGAATGTTGATGCAGATCTGTGGTCCCTAGCTGAATGTAATATGCAGGCAGGCATTTTGATTTCTGGGAGACTACCATGCTCTGAGTTGTCATGGGGCCATCAGAACTGAGCAGAATCAACACATTCAAGGCCAACATCCACAATTCATCTAGTGATAATGAAGCACAGAAACTTGGCTTTATGGGTACAACCAAGCCTCACTCACTTGCTATATCATTCTGTTTGGAGCCACTGGAACTGGAGAGCACATGGGGTCAGAGCGGGTAGAGAAGCATGGTGTGTGGGAGTCTAAACATGGTAGTAGTGTGCAGAGGGAGGTTTGGAGGAGGAGGAGGAGAAAACCAAGAGCATCTAACACTAGGGGCATAAGGAGTAGAGGAGGAAGGGAGACAGGGATGATTTGCTTTATGCCTGGTACTCTCCTGGGTATAATTGATACAACATGAATGATGTGACTAAAGACACTTCAGTCCTGGGATACAGATGACAGGAACATAGACAATTATAAAACAGTGTGATAAAAGGTGTAGGTGTACAATAGAATTGCTACATCATTTGTGGATTTCATGTTGGTGTCAGGTAAGAACAATTGGGTTAAGGTCTAATCTCAGAGGAAGCAGAGCCCAAAAATGACACAGTTGTCTGAAAAGAAAATAGGCAGGTGATAGGAGGCAGAGGCTTGGTAACTGAAGCTGGGGACAGAGTGGATCCTGACTGACTGGGAGGCTGTCAAACTGTCATTAACCTGTACCAGGCTGAGATGTCCTAGCTTCTATCCTGGTGCTCATGTCTGTAGAGAGGCATAACAAGAAAGAGAAACTCATCTCTGGCTGTGGTTGACCGGAGGGACTGTGGAGGTCCTCCATTTGAGGCCAGAATCATTTTACCTTGAGGTTTCCTCATTCATGGGAAGGCTCTTTTATTTTCATTTTTGCATTAAACTCTCCTGCCACCAGATCTCCCACACACCCACAACAGAGGGCAGATGATAATGACTTATTAAATGAACAGAATCTTGAGGTGTCCTCTAAATAGAAGACTCATCTTATGAGTCATACTCACCTTATGGGTATATTGCTCATGAGAAAATTGAAGCAGGGGATTTTGGACACACTCAACCTAAGAGTTCTTTTTAAAAATCAAAATAAATAGGGGCTGGTGCTGTGTTGCAGTGGGTTAAAGCTCTGGGCTGAAGCACCGGCATCCCATATGGGCACTGGTTCGAGTCCCGGCTGCTCCTCTTCTGATCCAGCTCTCTGCTATGGCCTGGGATAGCAGTAGAAGATGGCCCAAGTCCTTGGGCTCCTGCACCCATGTGGGACACCTGGAAGAAGCTCCTGGCTTCGGATCAGTGCAGCTCCAGCCAGTGCAGCTACAGCCATTGAGGCCATCTGGGGAGTGAACCATTGGATGGAAGAATTCTCTTTCTGTCTCTACTTCTCTCTGTAACTCTGTCTTTCAAGTAAATAATATATTTTTAAAACAAATCAAAATAAATAAATAAATAATC